TTCACGCCTGTTTTCTGTGTGGTCGTGGTATTACACCGGGCGAGCCGGCCCATTCGTGCAAAGATGTAAAAGCGGGCTCTACCACTGTTAATATATAGACCCTTGATAACTTAAAACCTCTATAACTTCAAATATTTTGTGTTTCCCTTGGACTTTAACTTATCGAGGTCCTAGTGTATTAAGAAACACTAATAGTAATTCCACTACTTTTATATGCTTCCATTTCTATCCGACAAATCATTACTGTACTGTAGACGGGCAAAGATTAAAAAATACGATATTTTCGTGTCTCTCTTAACTTATATAGCTGACCATCACCACCAAGAATGCAACTATACTTTTATCTCTACAGGATTTGCGTTAGGTTCCCTACTAGGCGGGCAGTTATATGCCCGACTAGGCGGGCGCGGTGCATTCCGTACTCTGGCTATCGCTGCCACTATAGCTGCATTCACACACGGCGCTTTATCTATTAAAAAGAAACCTACAAGTAAGTACCTTTAATATACTATTATAATAAAGCGTAAACACACTTTGTGACGTAAGATGTCAGCAATTACAGCATATTTTTCAATTATTCTTTCTTTAATAAAAAGCCCTACACTTACGTCATGCTTTAGGCTATATATTTTCACACCATTAAACTAAGGGGGTAAATATTTTGGATAAAAACCCTAATGTGGAAAAGAGACCATAAGTTGCTGTCAACATCAAGGAAGCAAGATTGACAAGTTTTGTCATGTCATGTCATTTTGACATTTGCAATTGACAATTTGACACATGTAAACAATATAATAATTTAATGCTTATAAAATCGTACGGGAACAGCTAGTACTAATATAATAAAGCGTAAACACACTTTGTGGCGTAAGATGTCAGCAATTACAGCATGTTTTTGAATTATTATTTCTTTAATGATAAGCCCTGCACTTAAGATACGCTATAGGCTATATATTTTCACGCTATTAAACTTAGGGAGTAAATAAATTGGAAAAAATGACATGCAGGAAAGACACACTATAAGCCAATAGCAAAGAAGTAAACCATGGTTATTTAAATTCTCAGATTATTGTTGTGAACGGCTGGTAATTTGTGAAAGGATGTATGGATGTTAGTTACCTATCTCCAAAACAGATTTCGATAAAATTTGGTGATTTGCAAGACGCAAAATATTTTTTCTCCACAGAAAAAACACAGGAATTACCAAAGGAAGAGGATGAGAAAATGTTACCAACACTTAATACATCTATATATAAAGAAACCACGTTACCTTTGTCTGATGTCGGACAAAGTGACAGGTGACAAGTGACATAAAACTAGAGAGATTGAAAGATACATAGAAGAGGCATAATTGGCACTTCACTTGAAACTTTTACGGGCTTGTTCCGTTTACCCTAAATTTACCTAACCAGTAAGGCAACACGAAATTTTTACCGTTTTGGTAACTGGTAGGATGCGTATACTTTTATAATTTCCGGGACATCTATTACTATTATTAAGAAAAATATTACTATTCCTTCAAATTAAAAAAAGTGGCTGTGTTTTGTCCGCCACAGTGAAATTGGCCCTGTGGTTTCAGACAAAGCAGTTTGTTTGGTATCCGGATACTTGCATTTTAGTTCCCGGAGGCCCAACTGTACGTTTGTCGCCTTATAGTATGAAAAAAATGGATTCCAGGACTTAAAACATAAAAATCGCGACCAAACGTAAAATGTCAATTAGATCGATATTAAATTGCGCTATTTGGTGTTGAAATCGATATTTGATCGTTTTAACATGGGATTGAAGGTTTGAAACTAGCAAAGTAGTGGGTACCTAGCAAAAAACTTGACTGGTTACGAAAACGGATAAAAATTCTTGTTACCTAACTGGTTAGGTAAATTTAGGGTAAACGGAATAAGCCCTTTTACGTGACGTAACGCCATCTATTGATACATCCTCAAAACCAATCAATATAATTGTGTTTAGAATTAATTGCCAATAGATGTCATTGTTTATTAAAATATTTATGTTACTTCTTACTAATATTATAAATGCGAAAGTTTGGATGGATGTTTGTTAGAGTATAGCCTAAACGGCTGAATGGATTTCGATGAAATTTGGTATAGATGTAGAGGATAATCTGGAAGAATATATAGGCTACTCACTTTTTGTTTTTTTAGTTCCACGTCGCGTGCGAAAACTAGTTTAAAAAAAATGGATTTTAAATTTTAGACTTGACTCTAGGCTGTTTTATATCTGTGCCAAATTTCAATAAGATATGTTGAACCGTTGCAGAATGATCGAGTAAACATTAAAAAACTAAATTAATGGATCCCACAGGAACCGTAACTATTCCCGGGATAAAAAGTAGCCTATGTGTTCTTCCAGACTATGCTCTAAACCTGTGCCAAATTTCATGGAGATCCGTTCAGCCGTTTAGGCTACAAACTAACAAACATCCATCCAAATTTTTGCATTTATAATATTAGTAAGATTCTAGTTTTTCTTATTATTTGTGTTTACATTATTAATAGTAAATTGTGAATAAAACCTACACGAAATGGATTTTATATTAAATCTAGCGAAATATATTTATTTGGATAAATAAACATTAGCTACATTATGTAGATTCTTTAAATATAAAAACGGAATTATTTTTCCCCTAAGTACAAATTTATTAGTCGATAGTTTTGTGTTATAGTCCGACTAACCAAAGTTGATACTTGAGAGCTCAATTTTATAATATTTTTTTTATTATTGACCATTTTAATATATTCAAGTTATTTTTAAAAGATATTTAAACTCATGGTTGTATGTATTTCTTTATATCTGTATACATTTTTGTATTATGAATAAGTACATTTTACGTACATTTTTTTTAATAATTGATTCGATATTTTTTTTAATTACGATGGATTTTGTAATAATTATTATTAATGTACTAATTGGATATTTTTATGGTAAATATTGTGCCATTGGAAGCTAGTTTTATGGTGGATTACTAATAGACTTCTAGAAAAAAAATGCTTTTACAAACTATGAGAGATTGTTAACGGTCCCTATGTAAACTGATGCAACTGAAAAATTTAAATTTTACACGAGAAAATTCAAATATTTTTATCTTAAACTCGTATAATTTAGTGATGATTTTTGTTACTAACGCTTGTATACGTTCAGTTTTAACTAAACAAACTGAACGAATTTTAACAGTTCAGTTCAATAGTTATTTTATTCACATAAGTTATAGCAATTCGATTATTGAGTTAAAACTGAACGT